TCCACTCTCTCTCTTTATCTTTCTCTCTCACACACACAGACGGTGTGTTTCTGAACATACGCTGCCTGACAGGCTTGAATTCGGGTTGGTGAAAAGGTGAGTCAACACCCTCCACTCTGTCAACAGTCCTGAAGCTCCTCACCTTAACATTACCTTTTGTGTGTGTGCATATATAGCAGCTTTCCTTCTCATCTCAGACATGACAGAATAGATTAAGATGGACTACAATAAAACCAAATAGCATAAACAGAACAGAATAAAATACAGAACACAATAGAATAAGATTTTTTAAAATGTTAAAATGATACAACATTGATAAGATGATATAGAATAAAACAGTATAATACAATAAGATAGAAAGGAATACATTACAATAATATAGACGAGAATAGCATAAAAGAGAATAAAACACATATACATGAGGTGGCTGCAGCAGATGAATGGCTCCCAGTAAGCCAGAGGCACCACTTCTCATCCTGTTTACTCTTAAGCAGTGACCCAGTATCAGCTCACATGTTCTGCCTTCATTTAAATCCACAAAAACTGATCCTGCACCAGTTAAAATGTGGTGTGTAAAATTAGCAGGTCGCAATCTTCTCGGAACTTCATTAATTCAAGTGGCCCTTGATGCTTTGTGTCCCAGAGCACAATTTGTAGTGTTCTCCCTCTTGTTTTCAGTAATTTATTCTGCTTGGACCATGTTGTTATTCTGCTTGATAGGGATGTCTGATCCAGACACTTCCCAGTGGGCTGCTACAGCTCGATTGCATTGGAACAATCTGTTGGTCATCACAACACAAACACTACTTTGAAGGTAGTCAGGTGATGGATTCAGTTTGTTCTGTTATGCATATTACAGCTATGTCAGGTCTATAATTTATATATTATAAACCCAATACAACTGGCAGGTGGTAATTATGACATGTACAACTGTCATTATACATAAGTTCCAGATTAAATGATAAATGGACTTGTACTTGTGTAGCGCTTTTTACGTACCTAAGCACACTCAAAGGTCTTTCTCACCATTCACACTCCCAGCCACTGGGAGCAACCTTGAGCTCAGTGTCTTGCTCAAGGACACGTGTGCAGGAGAAGCCACTAAACCAGCGACCCTCTGGTTAGGAGACGACCTGCTCTACCTCTTCGGTCATAGCCGCCCTTAAATGTGTTATCATGCTGTTCACTTCTGTGTCTGGATGTGGCTTGGTGTTTTGTGAAGAAGCAGCATTTCCTGAATGCGCTGACGTAGTCGGCCACATCTACTCACTCATTCAGGCTTATTGTATCTTAACTCTCCTCCACCCCATGTTGTACTTGAAACTACTAAGAAACTGTACTTTCATCACATATCAGCTGTTCTTTTACTGTTATTTACCTGAGCTAAGTGTCAGTGTGTTCACAGCTACGGTGGTATCTCTGGGTATATAAGGAGCTGTCTGCCTCTTCCTCACTATCTTCAGCTTTCTTTACCCATCTCATCTCTATCACTTTTTTTTTTTTTTGTTGCTGTTTTTGTACCTGTACCTGTTTTTGTATCTTTTGCTGTTTTTGTGCAGTTTTTTACTCTCCCTACTTCTTTCTTTTTCCTCTCTCCCATTTGCTGACCGTCTCTCTGCAGTTTCTGTACTTCTCTCGCTCTACACACACATATATATATATACACACATATACATTGAACTTGTGCTTTTACTGGCTTAGGCCTCAGTTTACCTTAGACGTACGTCACATACAGGTGCTGGTCATATAATTAGAATATCATCAAAAAGTTGAGTTATTTCACTAATTCCATTCAAAAAGTGAAACTTGTATATTATATCCATTCATTACACACAGACTGATATATTTCAAATGTTTATTTCTTTTAATTGTGATGATTATAACTGACAACCAATGAAAACCCCAAATTTGGTATCTCAGAAAATTAGAATATTGTGAAAAGGTTCAATATTGAAGACACCTGGTGCCACACTCTAATCAGCTATTTGACTCAAAACACCTGCAAAGGCCTTTAAATGGTGTCTCAGTCTAGTTCTGTAGGCTACACAATCATGGGGAAGACTGCTGACCTGACAGTTGTCCAAAAGACCACCATTGACACCTTGCACAAGGAGGGCAAGACACAAAAGGTCATTGCAGAAGAGGCTGGCTCTTCACTGAGCTCTGTGTCCAAGCACATTAATAGAGAGGCGAAGGGAAGGAAAAGATGTGGTAGAAAAAAGTGTACAAGCAAAAGGGATAACCGCACCCTGGAGAGGATTGTGAAACAAAACCGATTCAAAAATGTGGGGGAGATTCACAAAGAGTGGACTGCAGCTGGAGTCAGTGCTTCAAGAACCACTACGCACAGAC